GCGTCAGTTTGAGAATGTCCAAATTGTTCATGCTGTTAGAGAATGCAACATGACAGCTGACTGCTTTGCTAGAATGGGCACCCCTCTATCTTCTCCAAGTTTTTGTATTTTCGAAAGCTACCCTCCGTCAGCGGCTTTCTTTTGTTGTGCTGATGCTTATGGGGTTTGTTTTGCTCGGCCCCCTTGATGTACCCTTATTGTAGCTTTTAATAATATCTCTCTATTTATATATAAAAAAAAAAAACTAAAATGAACAAAACCCATCAAAAAAATTTTAAAAAAAAAGTCTATACTTACACAAAAACAACATAAATACTTTTAAAAATATCACTCTCTATTGTTTAGATTAAAAAACTCCTTGTCACTTATCCCTTTACACTTCACAAACAAAAAGTGTAGAACTTAAAAGAAAGAAAGAAAGAAAGAAAAATAGGATGGTTAACAAGTTATAGGGATTGAAATAAAGGCCTGTTTTCTCAAATCCAAGAATCTAGATTTGGTTAGCTGATCTATTGCCTGACAAAGGAGGAGGAAGGACAACAAGAGGGATAGAGAAGAAGGAGGAGTGGGGATTGAAATAAAGGCCTATTTCTCAAATCCAAGAATCCTGGTTAGCTGATCTATTGCCTGATAGAGGAGGAGAAAGGACAACAAGAGGGATAGAAAAAAAGGAGGAGAGGAGTTAAAAATGCAGGGGCAAAGAACTAAAGTAAAAGAAGACGGAACCGTCTATAATCGGTATTCGATTTAAATGTCTAGTCTTTTGCTACGTGGTAAAAAAATTAAGGGAGAGTGGTGAAGCGAGTGCTGAAGGGCGATTGTCCTTAGCATTTCTCTTCCATTTATCATCAAATTCCTCTGTTATGCTCATCGATTACAAGAAGAGGAAAACAAGTATATATGCAATGCAATCACGTTTTAAAACCAGCAAAAGTTAAAGGGAAGAAATAAACATAACAAGATATCATAAACCAAAGAAAAGATAAAGGGGACCTCGTACTTTCTCAAGTTATACGATTCTTTTTCCTCGAAGTTCAATTTCAGCAAGAAATGTTGGGAAATTTTAAGCTTGTTTTCTGTCACAGGCGCACTCACTCCCTTGGCTCTTCCCAATTTCTCTTGCTTCCGATCTTTGCCTTTGCTTTGGTCATGGTACTTATAGGGAGAGAACCAACCATCCGTAGGTGGGCCCTTTTTCTTTGCCTCATTACATGAGGTCATCATGCAATTTTGAATGACCAAATAGTAGTCAACAACTGGTTAACCAAAAGTTTTGGTTTCAAATTTTGAAAATGCAATTTCGTTAGAATTCGTGAAAGAGAATTTTGTCGCTCGTTGGGTCTTATCCGACTTAAATCCAGATTAATCGGTAGGTCAAGGGGTTTCCGAACAATGGGTGGTCCATACACAAAAAAAAAAAAAATAAATCATGCAATTTCGAATGATTTCAAAATTTTAACGAAATCAAATGGTAGTCCACAACTGGTTCGGTAGGTGAAGAAATTTTGATGCTTTCAAAATAATTGTGTTTTTCCTTTCCTTCAGTCCAGGATGTGTTAAGACAATAGTTTGGGGGGTATGGCTATTATCATCACGAAAAATATTAAAATTATTATTTTTTAATTTTTGAATTAATATCTGAAAATATTAATTTATTAATTAATAGATATTAAGTATCTTATTAATTAAATTAAATAAAATTAATATTTTTTAAAATGATATTTTATAATTTTTGTTTATCTTAACAACAGTAGTCAATTGCATTGGTCTTCCATCTTGAACATTGGACCCATTGGAAAGTTACAACAAGGCTGGACCACTGGCCCAATAAGCAGAAATTTCCAAAAGTCCAAACCCACCGCCCCAACTGTAATAATGTAGAAGACCCAGACATTTTCTTTTCTTTTCTTTTCCTCTTTAGCTGAAGGAAGCTTGATTTGGAAGGTTGTGCTGCCGCTTGGCAAGAAGGATCCCAGATATGGTAAGTGGTCCCCTAATTGATAAGGACCATTCCAAATTCAACAAGTTCTTAAAGGGGGTGCTTGTTGGTTAAAGTCTTTGAATGGGGAGTTGCATCCACGCAAGATCAATGGCATCTACTTGAAACTGTATTATCCGACTGTGTGGGAGGTACGGGATAGTTCTGCCTCCACGTCTGCATGATCTAGGTTTGCAGAAATTTGTATTTTATTTGATTTAAGCTGTTTTTCTTTCAATAAGGACACGTAGGGTTTTGGCTTGAACTATGGAAGCATATATAAGAATTGGTGCTACCATGGACGCATGGCATATTCTTACATTTTTGTTTTAGAGCAGCTTTGTTTGCAAAAGCCGTGGGCAGCATGAATAAAGCAAACAAATAAATTCATCGTTCATCATTAGAAGAGGGAAAAATCAAAAGAAGTCTGGAAATAAATGTTTAAGCGGCTTAATGGCCGTGACAAGGATGAATGATGTTGAAAAAAGAAAAAAGAAAAACCTAACAAAGGTTTTGCTTCCAAGTGGCCCACTCATCTCTCATTTGCTATAGTGTGTTGTGGGCTTCCTTTGCTTTCTCTTCCTGTTGTGCAACCTCATTCTTTATAGCCAAAGCTTCTCGCCCTTCTTCTTAGAGCTTAACCAATAATTTGCTTCTTTTGGCTTTAAGGGATTTGAGGCTTCCTCCTTGTTGTAACTCTCGAGTAGGAAATTAGCTGGCCATGGTTGGAATGGCTTGACAGAGACAATGCGAAAACTAGAAAAACAGAAAGAGAGAAACGGCCACAAATCTGTGATGATGGTTATCGAAAGAGTGGCTATGCTTTATAATGAATTGGAGTCGATCATGTTTCCGAGTCCTAAGCAGTGAAGAATTGTGATTGCGTTGTAGAAGTTGTAGTCAGCCACGTTTTTGATTCCAAAACGGAAACAAAATCGTAAACAGCAAAAGTAAAATGGTGAAAAGGAAGGAAGCCCTTGAGGAAATTTGGGGCTTACAAAAGAGGACAAGGGCACAAAGAGGTTGAGTACTGTCACTAAGGTCTTAAATTTTTGACACCTACTTCTGTAAGGCCAAAAATTGGGGGCAATGTTTACACCTAATTTTACAACAAATAGAGTGCTGTCAAGTGTTACCCATGTTGGCAGATATTTTATTGGTTGAAAGTTGGTCTAAGTTTTTCCAGATAAGATTGAGTGGTTATTTCCACAACGGTAGAAAACTGTTCTCTTATTGCGAGCTTCTAGGAGAATAATCGCATCACCAACAAATTAATCAGTTTGTTGCAAATATCACACTGCCATTGGTTTTTCAGGATGCTGCCGTAGATCTCCACCATGCTGCCAAGGTGCTATAAATACCTAATGATGAGATCAAGCAAAGGATGGACCTCTCACACAACAAACTCAGCACAATTTCTTTTTATGCTTAAATTTATCTTAGTCTCGAGCCCTTTAGTTTAGTTTTAGCTCTACGTTTCAACCTAGATTAGTTTAGTAATTCAGCTCTTCTTTTGTTGGATTTGTAATGGTGAGTTTCATTGCCTTCAATAGTATTTCTTTGTGATCGGATTGCTTCCTTTCCTTTTCTATTTTCCAAGTTTCCTTTAATTAAATCAAATGATGTCGACATTTAATTTCATGTTCAATTCTATTTCTGTTAATTTATATTTCATGCTGCCAGTAGACTTTCCTTGTTTTCGGTTTTATTTACTTTAATTTAATTTACTTTTGTTGCAATTAAACTTCCTTTTAAAACTCTGTTTCAACCCAGTTTGCGTAATTAAAGTTCATTTAGATTTTCAATAGTTTAACGATCATTTATTTTCCTTACAGTCTTAACTTTTCTTAATTATATTAGCTTTGAGGAGTCCTTGGAATCATATCCAGGGCATTTTTCTGTATAACCCATTTAGTACAGGAAGTTCATCCCCCGTTTTTGCCAATTGTTTGATCTTTAAGGCGCAGTTTACGACATTCTTTTATCAACTCACAAATTGAGTTCCACACTTGGAAAGAAGAGAAGGTCGTCAGAGAAGGTCATCAGAGAAGGTCGTCAGAGAAATCTTTCTTGTTTTGAGCAAAGCAAATGGCACGTCATCTCATCTGTCACGTGTCAAGGAGATTTTTTGATATAGCAGATTGGTTTGATTATTATATAATAGTAGATTGATTTTGTTTAAAAATTAAACTAACCAATTAAATTAGATTTATTTAAAAATATTAAAATATGAATTAAATTGGCAACCCAAGAGAATTGTTTGTTTCATTGAAAAGACATGATCTTTTACATTTGTCTACAATGATCAAGTATTAAAAACAACAGATTCAAATACCCAGATCATAAATTTCTTTCAGGTAGCAAAAGGAAGAATTATCATATCCACGATTGAATTGAGGTGATACCCGATGGAATATCTGTTTTATCCGGGTTCTCTTCTTCGGCCACCGCGGGATTTGATTTCTGTTTGTCTCTGTTTTTTTCTCTTTCCGGAATCGGGACCATTTTGCCTCCCTTCTTCTGCTCGTAATGTAATCTGTTTGTTCCTATAGTTTTTCCATTTTTTCCCTCTTAAATAAAAAATTTTTAATTTCATTTTTGGTCCAGTAATTTTAACATTTAAATTATTAAAGAAAACGTAACTAATTTTCCTGTTGTTTTTAATTTTTTAAAAAAAAATTTATCTAAAAAATCATTTTATAATTAATATTTTTAAAGACTAATGATTGAATTGAAACTTTATTTATATAAATTATGCATGTTAATTTTTAAGTTATTTTAGTAAACTTAATCATTTTATTAATTATAAAAAAAACACTATTAAATATATACATATCTTAAAATAGAGTT